CTGGAATGCAAATCTGATCAGACCTCCTATTTGAAATCTTGAGAAGTCTTACAAAGTCTCCTCATTGCCCCAGTGATAACCCTTAAGCTCTCCAGCAGTATACGGTGCCCTTTGTAATTGGTCTGCTGCCTCCCTCTCCAGCTTCCTGGCTGCCTGGAACTCCTTACATTTCTCCAGTAGGCCTTTCTGCTTCAAACCCCCGTGTCTGTTCTATGTGCCCTGCAATAGTTGGCAAGTCTCTATTCTTTTGTTAAAGACAAGACTGAAGCGTTACTGCCAGCCAGGGAGGATGTCTGGGCTAGATTTGCATCAGAGTAATTCGGGTAATATTTTAACTTAGGTGTGGACCAGGCACATGTTGCCTTTATATTCTCAGAGCTTAGCCAGCTACCTGGCTTAGGGCTGTGTTCTCGTATCTCAAATTGATAGTGACTTTTCACTTCCTGTTTCGTGGGCATGCTGCTTTTCTTTTTTTTTTTCCTTTAAATTTGGTAGTCAGTCTTGGCAGTGGTGGTGATGAGTCTTGTTGTATTAACAACTTTGTCCTGGGCTTAGTGGTTTAAAATGACAGCATGTGGGTCTGTCTTATACTGTCCACATAGTGCTGTGGAAGGTGTTCCATTGCCCAGCTTGGTGAATTGTGTCGGCGTAAAGCTTGGCCTACCCTGTGGCTCATGTTTATGTCTATCCAAGTTCCTTGAGGAAGCCAGCCCTTTAGTTTTAAAGTGGGTTGTCTGTTTCAGAGTGCTAACTACAACAGTCTGGTGGAGGAACATTCTGTGGGATTCCAGAAGAGCCTGAGTCTGTCTCTAGAGGTTATGAGTCAGTTTTCTCCTGGCTCTCGTAACTGGCCTCATGCAGGAAGTGCACCCTGGAGTTTTCTTGAGCTCTGCACCACTGAGTTAGGGAACATTAGCACACTTGGATCCTGGACTCAGACAGTGTTCAGCAAGCGGGCCTTTTCACAGTTAGGCAGGCCATTATGATGAGAATAATGTGGTGATGCCCAGTGTGGCACCAGGATTTGGAGTCTTTGGGACTGGACTGCCCGCCTTTCTTCTGACAGCCTGTGGGACTCCTTCCCAAAGAGATTTGCCCAATTTTTATTTGTCCAAATTGTAATGCATTCACCCAATTTTTAATTTGTTTATTTATATTTTAAGAGTTTTGAGGGGCAAAATTCACTTCTGTAGGCTGGAGATAATTGGGGGGGAAAAAGGACTTTGCACAGGGCTGGTGCTTGGTGTTGGCCATGAAGTCTTGGCTGTAATGGAACGGCCTTGACAGGAACCAAGGAGCTGCCCCACATTATGTGGGAAAATGGGTAGACCAGGGTAGGAAACATATTTGCAGGTACAGGGAACCTAAGGTCTTGGTTCTTCTTTTTAATGGTCTATGGTGCTGGGTCCACGTACATTCTAACCCTCAGTCTGAGAGGTTTCCACTCACTTTCTGTTGAATGTTGGACTTGCTGCAGCTCTTCAGCCCCAGTGTCGACTGAGGACATCTCTAAGTTTCCTCTCATCGCACACAGTTGACCCGCAAAGCAATTAGCAACAGGTTTCTTGTCCTTGGAACAGGGAGGAAGTTAATTCGCAGAAGTTGCCCCTGTTATGAAAAGCGGTTCACCAGTAAAGAAGTTCCCAGGAAGGACCTGTGGTTCCTGCTCTAAGTTGGGTACAGACAGCAGAGCCTTGGGGTCCATGGGCTGTTCCTCGAGTCAGCACCTCTCCTTTTGGAGGGCACATCTGACATAGCACATGCTGCCCTCCTGGCTTTGTGGAAGGGAAGACAGGTCTCTTCTCTGCCACACACTTCCTAAAAGGCAAACCCAGACCGTTCCCTTTTCTGCTTTTTCTTGAAACAAGAACTAGAATATTTCCTCCCTGAGCTGGCTGTGGCTTATGACATCCTAGCATTTATTCTGCCAATTAGGGGAGTTGGTGGCTTTGTCTTGGGGCTTTTAGGAGATGAGCTCTTCGACTTTTCCTAGGGACACCCCTCCATCTTTGAAGTAATCTCTTAAAGGCTCTGGTTTGCCTATAAGTCCTGGTTTATGCCTGCTGTCCCGCCATTAGTATTAATAGTGCCCTGTCTCACGTTCAGAAGCACCCTAGTTTGGATAAATTATGTAGTTACTCTACATATTTGTCAGACTAAGCCAGGGTTTCTCAATCTTGGCACCATGGACATTTGGGGCTGGATAGTTCTCTGTTGCTGGGGGTGGGGTGGGGGGGCTTGTCCTGAGCATTATGGGTTGCTTAGCAGCATCCTGGCCTCTGCCCACTGGATGCCAGCAGCACCCTCCCTCTCCAGTCGTGACAACCAAAACTGCCCCCAAATATTGCTACCAAATAGTCCCTGAGGGACATAATTGCCCCTACTTCAGAGCCACTGAACTAAGCATTGCACATGGGTTTTATTCTGAGTGTCAGCTCCCATTGATCGGTAATGGCTTGCCCAGCCCTGTGTTGGCAAGGATCTGAGACTCAGTGCCGAGGAGCACCGGGATAGATTAGTGCTGTCTGCCATGGGCACTGGATGGGTCATGGCAGCATATGGCGCCCTAGATTAGGCCATGGAGATAGGAGATGGAACGTGCCAGAGAGGTTTGGTGCATTATTCTGGCACTGGCGGTGCCGGCAGTCCAGGTGGAGGGACAGACATGTTTGTACGCAGAGATCTGTGGCCGTAGCTGTATAACAGGACAAGTTGCCACCTACACCTGGTGCCAGTACGCCTGCAGCAGGTGTCAGGCGTCCGGAGCTCAGAGGAAGATGTGGCTGCTGAGGCCAGGGTGGTCAGAAAGGCCCGTGGAGGTCAGATCCTGCGGAAAGGCTGGCAGGTGTTTGTCAATAAGTGGTTACAGCACAGCCCAGACGTGCCCGGCACAGTTTTGTTTGTTTTAATCCTCAGCCTTGGGTTTAATTAAAGTTGTGGGGACCTGGTAGGTTCACCCTCCTAACCCTGGCTTTCCTGTTTGGTTTAGTTTGTTGTCCTGGGCATTACTGGGTCTTCCTGCCTTGGGGTGGAACTCAGGAATCTGTAAAGCGCTGAAGGCTTTGACTGGTCTAAGGCCAAGAGGATGGGAGAGCAAAATGCAGATGGCAACCCTAGGGGAACAAGGACACCGCACCCGGGTGGGTACTAGCGGGAGGGGTGCCTGGGGGACTGGGCAGAAGCAGCATGTGGCCTGTAACGGGGGGTGATGGGGGAAAGTGGTCCTCCTGGCCTCCCAGAGTCTCCCTCAGTGGGTATGTATGTGTTCTTACAGGAGAACCGGCCAGTTGAAGAATTTGAGCCCAGTTGTCTTCCCAGGAGCAAGAGAAAAAAACTCTCCTCTATGTTAATTAGTTAGAATGCCAGGTTTGGTTCACTTGCAGCGACTTTATGGTATTTAATGAGCTCCCAGCATTTCTGGGGGCGTGGTGTCAGGGTCCACTCTCATTCCAGACCTAAAGTAATCCGAGAGCTATTTAACCCTTTGCTCTGTGCTAATTCCACCTCTGCCTCTTAGCGGCCCCAGAAGTGGTCGGTCACCATGTGCCCGGCGAGCATCCCTGCACCTCTTGGTGGTTGACTCACCTTTCTGGGGAGACAAAGAAGGGTAGAATCCTAGCCTGCTTTTCACATCTGCGTCCAATCCTTATGCTTCACTGGTAAAGGGACAGGCCCTGAAATGTTAACTGATTCGTCCAAGGGCTTGCAGAGAGCCAGCCCAGAAGCCGTGTCTCTGATCCCTGTCCTGGTGCCCATCCTCCAGGGGCGCCGTTGGCCGTCCTCCTTCCTGGCTGGCGTTTGGAGGGGTTCTCCCATCTGGCTGGCGGGTTATGGCAGGAGAGGCCTTCCCGCCCTTCGCTGCACCTTCTCCCCGCCCTGCCATCTGGTGCCCCCGTGGAGCCGTCTGCTCTCCAAGGGCTTTTCTGGAGAAAAGCACCGTGTCAGGGAGGTGCTAGGAAATGCTTCGAGGATGCAGTAAACCCGGACTTGGAGCCGACTCACCGGGACAGGAGGCTGAGGAAGCCGCAAATGTGATGACTCCACTTAAGCAGGAATGTGCCGGCTGGAAGGCTCGGGCCCTGCCAGAGAGCCCTGCCAGCCGTGGCACACAAAGGCCCTGCTGTCTGCAGGGAGGTCTGGAGCCACCGAGCGCCTGTGCCCGAGGGCTGCGTGCTGTCACCCCTGCCACACGGTCACCCCTGCCAGTCGAGTGCCGGCCACGCTGGATGCAGCCCTGCGGGGGGAGGCCCTGAGAGGCAGGCCGAGAGACTCCAGCAGAGGAGTGAGGGTCTGGCACTTGGGGGCCCACCTGGCTTGACAGCTGCTGGGTAGCGAGGGGGCTTTGACAGCACTTCCAGGGCAGGTCAGCCGAAGGAGTCTGCTGCTGGGCCTCTCTCGGCCTTAGCTTGAGGGAGAAACTTGCCCTGTGAGCAAGAAGTGTGTGGAAAAGAGAGCACGAAGTTTGTTCGAGGTGGAGTCTGGCTCTGTCACATCCTGACCCACCGGGGTCCACTGTGGGCCTTCACTTTCTCGTCTGCCTCTGGGCTTGAGAAGATATACTAGGTAGGGTTACTGTAAGAATTAACCAAAATGCCGTGTGGACGGTGCCTGGCCTGTGATGAGTGCCCGTTAGGAGGTGGCGGTGGAAGCCTGCAGATGCAGTTTCCTGGCTGAATGGCCCTGCCCTCCGCGCGGTCTGCGCATCACACGTCCCTTCCCTCCGGGCACCCACTTGCGTGATGAAAGTGATAACCAGTTGCTTCCTCAGACAGCTTCTTAATCTCCTCAGTGAGCATCCTCCCAGAGTCCAGGCTCTGGGTACCAGCACCATGGGAAGTGATTTGTCGAAGCTGCTGTCCTGGCAGTGATCATGTGACACACAGGCGTGCGCCAGCAGACACAGCCACCAGCTTGTCTGATCTGGTCCACGGCCTGGAGTGGGCAACCTGAGGCCTTGGGGTCCACATGGCCTCGGGGGGCTTCAACAGAACGTTGTGCACACAGCACTGGAGTCATCCTCTGTACTGGTGGGACACCAGAGGGCCGCTGTGACAGGCAGCCCTGGGCCCGCCACCTGCACATGACAGCCTGGCTATGGAGCTACTTCGCTGGCCCCCCCAGGAAGGAGAGTCACCCCCAGAATGAGGCTGCGTAATTATGTGGTCACACCCGTCAGTCTCATTTCCGTAAAATGTTCTTTCTAGAAGAGGAATCTGTGGTTAATGGATCCTTTCAAAGGATTCAGCTTTTGGCTTGCTTTTTTGTTTTGTTTTTAGTTCACCCCAATAGGCACACTTTGCTTTGCTGTGGGCCGGCTGAAGTGGGAGGGGAGAAGGAAATGCCCTCTCGGAACCTGAAACTTTAGGGGTGGCTCTACGACTCCTCCCCACTTCCCCCCAATTCCCTGCAAATGAACAAACAACAAAACTCACCTGCAAAATCTAATGGCTAAGCTGCTCTGTGCTTCGAGCCTCCCTGAACGCGTTTCTCTCTCGCTGCCGAGTGAACCCTACCAGCTCGTTTTTCCTGTTCTCTCAAGTTCTGGCCTTGAGACTCCAGGAGAGCAGGTCCCAGTGTGTCAGGGCTGAACACTGCTGCATTTGGAGGAAAGAATGGCTTTCCTTCCCCTTGCTGGTTTCTGGAATTAAGCTATCAGAGGAGAACAAAAGTCCCTAAAACTAAAGAGAGATAAGAGCCCTGAAAGTCTGCACGCGTAAAAGTCAGGGTAACATAAGTGGCTTCTGTAAAATTCGTTTAGTCTTGAGCAAGGCTAATGGCCCAGCGTTGACCTTTGTCATAAACTGTGAGGACCCTTGTGTTCTTCTGGCAAAGACAATGCTCACTGGGGCTCGGGGTGTCATTGCAGTTGGGCTTGGTGACTTCCGATGAAGAGCTGGTCTCCCTAACACGAGCTGGACCACAGATACAATGGGGCAGGACTCTGAGCTGAAAGCTGTGCTTGAGGAGCAAACTCTGCCCTAACAGTTACCAGCACATCTTTGATTTCATTAGATTGTGCTTCTCAAGGCGACCAGAGCCGCTGGCTTCTGCACGGAGCACCCCCATGAGCCATTGTGGTTCATCTCCTAGCCTTGGTGTTCCCCATTCGCCACGTTTGGCTGATCCCATCCATGGGATGCTCACGAAGCCCACTGTCCTCCTTGGAGGGCTGTTTGTGCTCTGACTGGGAGCTAGGTTTGCCCTGAGCTTTGGTGGGCAGTGTCCATCTCACTCCCTGTTTGTGTGCCCTTGTCCTTCCCCGAGAACCCAGCCCTCTGCAGAGCTGTGACCTGTGGCTTAGTGCTCTCTGGACAGGACTCAGCCAGGGTCCTTCCTGCCTGTCTTTCCTTTCCTCAAGGGGTTGCTTCGGAGCAGGGCACAGCTGGCCTCAGGGGTAATCAGGTCCCTCCCAGTGTCCTGGTGGCCTCTGCTGTCGGCCGTCAGCACTCACATGTGGCTTTTCAATCTCCCTCCATCCTGACAGACCCAGGAGAGCTGCCTCAGCGGCAGCCCCACACAGAGAACGTTCTTGCTCCTGGCCCCGCCCACGGGAAGGCGGATAAACAGCCAGCAGTGGTTTCTGGCAGGTTTGCCTGCGTGCCGGGAGCTCACCTGTGTGAGCCGCTGGCTGCATTTGGGCCAAGAGAGGGCTTGTCTGGGGCCTTGTTTGCTCTCGAAAGGAGTGAAAGTTAAGAGTGATCCCTTGGGCTGCTTTCTGATTGTCAAGGGTGCTGGTGGGGGAGGGCTGCCTGTTCTCTGCCTCCTACAACTGGGCACCTGGGCCTCCTGGGCAGGGTTCAAACCACAGCCTTACCTGCGGGAGCGCGTGGGCGGAGGCGCTGGGCAGGTCCAGCTGGCTTCTGGCTTGGATAGCTGCTGATCAAGCGTCTGCTTGGTCTGCGTCCACCTTTGTGCCTGGAGAGAACATAGCTGGTGACCACATTATGTGCTTGGAAGCCACTGGTGGGGCTTTCCTCCTCACTGGCTGACTGCTGGGCAGGCGGGCGGGCTGCCAGGGATGCTGTGACCCGAGGCCCCCGAGGCTCCGCGTCAACCTCCCGTCTCTGCTGGTGGAAAGCATCGTTTTGCACCCTCTTTTCCTCACCTCTCTGTTTGCTTCCCGAGCGCTTGTTATCCGAGCTCGTGAGTTGGGCTGGCTCTGGAGAAAGTAGCTGACAGCTTGCAAGGCCCACGTGACAGACACTGCATGAGTGGGGATGGCCTGTTCGGTGCAGCACTGCCGGTGGCACAGCGTGCCCTGCCCTGTGGGGGCTCCGTGGGGAAGAGCTTGGCATCCGGAGGTCTGGGTTCTTAGCCCAGTTTGTGTGACTTTGACCAAGTCGTTGGGTTTCTCGGGACTTGGTGTCCTGACCTCCAGATGTAGGTGATTGGCCACGTGCTCTTTAGAGCCATCCCAGCCCCTGGGTTCTGAGCTTGAACCCACAGGTCTCTCCACGTTTTATACCTGGTGAAGTGCTTTGCATTTTGGCCCATTGAGACCCTGGATGCTGTCCCCGAGAGGGTCTCGGGAAAGTAACTGCAGTCCAGGCGTCTGTCCCCAGCAGCCTGAGGCTTCCGTCCAGGTGTCGGGGGCAGGGACTCACACAGTGGGTGACCCTGGGATCTGCTCTGCAGGTTTCATGAAAGACAGCCCCCTTGGTGGTGGAAAGTCTCAGGCCTGTTTGTCATGGGTCGTGCCATTTGTCGCACCCCATCTCGGCCCGTATCAGCATCTCAGTTCTCGAGAAATTTGGTTGGCCTGAAGACGAGTCCCATGGGCAGGGCACCCTTCCAGGTGTCCCCCCTCTCTCCAGCGAGCGGCCCCGTTGGAACCTCCGGAGGCATTGTCTTAGCGAGCGCTCCGATGAGTCAGTCCCGCGCAGCGGCTGTTGGTGAACCGGCCTGTTCCCTTCCTTCTGTACTTCCTGTCGGGGCTGATGTCACATCGCGGCTGTGCGAGCCTCGTGGCCTTTTATGGACAAGAATCAGCAGCTCCTCTCACAGAGGAAGTGAGCGAGAAGGCCCCTAATGGAAGCCTGTACCTGGGCTGAGATACCTGCGGTCAGGCCTCCCCACCACCCGCCTGCGCCGGGGCCTTCCAGGCTGGCTGGAAACACCTGTCCATTTGGATACCAGCATCAACTCTGATTCCCTAGAGGCTAAGGGGCCAGGCCTCTCATAAAAGGGGATGTGCAGAGTGAGGATCGTGCCTGGGGCTCTCAAGCACCAGCCAGTGGCTTTCTTCTCTCCACCGTGGTTCCAATACATGGACTAGTGGTCGTCATATGTGCTCCCGGGAACCCTGTCTCCTGCCCCAGCAACTCTGATTTTTATCTCCTGTTCTTCCTACCGGGGACTTAGGAAGATTTTATCAAAGGGAAGATTGCTACTGCTTTTGAAAGAGTCGAAAACTGCTGCAGAGATTCATAATCCTGTCTCTGCCCCATCTCAGCAGAGTCAGGACCAGGGCAGGAGGGGTTTGGGGGCCTAAGTGAGACTAATGTCTTCATCCTGCAGGGATGATGTTCTGTTTCCCAGAACAGGCTTGTTTATGGTGGGTGTACTCCCCTGGTTCTGGGCTGTTGGGTTCCTGTCCTTCCGTCTGTCTGTCTCCTCTGGTGTGGAGGAAGGAAGGGCGTTTTCAAATAAGCCTTCGGTCCACATAGGCCCATAAAAGGACTTGAGCAAACAATAGAGTGGGCTGGACTCTCAAGGGTCCATGTCCCTTGAAATGACCATGTGGGCAGGGCTTCTGGAGTGTTGGGGAGGGTCCTCACTGGAATGCACTAGGGGTCTGGCAGAGGAAACTGAGTCAGGCAGAGAGCTGGCTGGCTGCTGAGAATTCCATCCACCCCACCACCCAGAAGAGATGCTTGTGAGCTCGGAACAGAGCAGATCTGCAATGAGAGGAGGCTTGTGCAAGAGCAGGGACAGTGCCTGCCTCGTCTTCCTCCTAAGGTTGTCACGAGGCCATGAAATAACAGACCCAAACCTACGTAAGAATCGGAAAGACGGGCTCTAGCAGCCTCAGTGTCCTTCGTGGCTGGCAGGTGGATTTGGGGCACTAAGTGTGGGGGCAAGAGTTGGAGAAATCAGAAAAGCCTCCCATCAGTTTTCATCCGCAAAAGCGTTTACCCAAATGAGTGTTCCGGCAAAGCAAATCAAGGTTTCTTTAAGATTTCTTTTAAAAATGGAAGGATCGGAGTGTTTTCTTTTTGGCTGAGTTGACAGTGGTAACTTGGCTTCAGGAATTGGAGGTGAAAGGTCAAAGGGGTAGAAGAGCTGGAGACGGTGGGATGAATGGAGGTTCTGTGATGAGTTTGGGTCTGGAATTGGGATTTGAGGTGTGTACAGGCTCGTGGGTGTGTGGGCGTCTCTGTGTACGTGCATCAGTGTGCACGGATGTGCCTGTGAGTGTGTGCCCACACGTGTGTGTCTGGGGGCTCTGCTTCCTGTTGTTCAGCAGCCGCTCAGTATCTGACTCCTCCTCACACAATTAGAGGAATTCCAGCCATCCCAGGGACCAGGCCTCGACAGCCCTGGGAGAGCGGTTCCCTCTGGGAGGGACGGGAACGTTTCCTTTTATGGTAGCGTCAGCAGCTGCAGCCTCCCGACTTGCTGGGCTGCGCAGGTACATTCTTGCCCGCTTGTGGAGCGGTGACTAGACCTGCCCGCGGCTGGGCCGGCCGCCCGACATGCGTTGGGGGGGGCCCGGCCCCAGTCACAGCTGCGTTGGTTCCAGACCCTTATCAGGGCAGGTGGTGGAAGCTGCTTTGGCTTCCCTGGCCTTTAGCCCCGCCGCCCCCTCCCCTCTGCTTTCCTGCCGGCTTATCAAGACTCGGCCGAGTCTAGCTCAGCCCTTGCTGCACAGCCTTCAAAGGCTCTGTCCTGTGGGAAAGTCTAGACGAGGGGGAGCAAGGTCACCCTTCTGGAGCTGCCCTGAGCCGTTGCCCAGTGGGAAGCAGGGCGTGGGCTGCACGTGTGAGTGGCCGGGTGCCCTCCGCGTCCCCGCACTGTTGATATTTCTCAGGGGCTGGAGGGAGGGCAGGGGCACCTTGAATATGAGGTTTCTTTTCCCCCCTTCCTGTCCAGACTCCCTCTTTCCTTCCCAAGACAGGAGATGAGTGGTCGTAAATGCCCAGCCCCAAGGGCTGCTGAGATCAGGCGTGCTGGAGGCTCCCCTCGCCGAGGGGCAGGTGGCCTTGCTGTGTGGTGTCTGCTGACGCTGAACAGCTAAATCAGTCTCCCGAGGCTGTACACACAGGGAGGCCATGGGTCACCCTCCCGATGCCCTACGGGGCCCAGGCTAGGCAGGTGAGCCAGTGAGGGTGTCCTTCCAGGTGGCCAGCATTGGTTGCTAACCAGTACCTACTGCTAATAATACTGCTCCTCCTCTGTCACTCTTCAACTTGTACTCCTGCTGCGCTGACAGTGCCACCACCCGTCGCGGTCACGTCATGATGGAGAAGTCAGTAGCAGCCATCTGTGGACTTCATTCTGCTTGCAGGGTACCAGGCTGGGTCCATTTCATGTTATTGCTGTTTCTCAGACTAATGCTGCCAGGGAGTTAGTGGCATGTTTACTTTATGGATAAATTAAACCCCTCACTGCAGCCAAATGTTAGTTAGCAAGTAGCTTGGCCTGGATTCAGGCTGACTTGACCTCAAGGAGATGGGGGTGGGGATGGAGATTAAAAGCGGGGAAAAACAAGTATATATTTTCAGTTCTTGCACACTCACTCCTGAACCAGGTCAGCCCTAATGTCTTAAAGCATTTCTGTCAAACTTGGCTTTCAAAGATGGGCACTACTGCTGTTCCTCCGGGACCCGAGGAGGGTGGGCTGTTTACATCCACATTTGGGAGCCGTTCACAGAGCTGAGATCGTTACCGAAAGTTCCCGACATCCAGGCCCAGAGACCCAGTTGTCACTGAAACTGGTCAGAAGCTAATTCTCATGAGCTTCTCTTCTTTCCAGGCTGCCTCTAAACTAACGTCTCTGAGCATTTTTCCCCGTGCTTGACAGCACGTGAGTGCTTTCATGCGTGTTAGTTATCGCCACGTGTGCTGTCACCCCCACCCCGTCACAGGAGGAGGCTGGGGCTCTGGAAGGCTGTGTGGAGGCAGCATCTTACCCCAGGGTGGTCCCACTGAAAAGCCAGCCTTGTCTGCCCTACCTCTCGCCTGTCTCTTACTGTGCCTCTTACCCAAACAGGGACAGTGTTTAAAACACCTGCCACAGGCCTTGCTTCTAACAACCTCAGCCCTCAGTTAGAAACACACAGGGCAGGCCCCACCATAGCACTTAGTAGAGTGGACTCCTGGGGAACTTTCCAGACTGGCTTTCTCGGAGGTGGAGAGACAGAACTATGTCTGGTGTTGTGGGGCGGGGTGGGCAGCGAGGGCGGTGGGGAGCTCCTGGGGGAGGGAGCAGCTGCCTAGTGGCGCCGCTGCCCAGGGGTGTCCCTCCTCCGAGTGAGGCACAGGGTCAGCGGGTGTCAGCGGCGTGGAGGGCAGCCAGCAAGGCCAGCGGGCCAGGCTTTCTGCTCCTGGGAAAGGGGTGGGACAAAGGGTGGCTCTTCAGAGGCCGGAGAGGGAGGCCTTCATGTCTGCTGGAGGTTAACTCGATGTCTCCTTTGTTTCAGACCGAGAGGACCAGTCCATTTTGTGCACGTAAGTGTTTCTGTTTGGGTGGTGGGGCCTGAGTCACCCTGATCTGTTCTTGATCTCGAGAACTCGTGCCAAAACCTAGGTTGATGAGTTCTTTCCCAATTCAAGCCCCTGCCCCTTCCCCAAGGGACGGGCCTAATATTTGCTACTTAATGGTCCCACAGCATGGATGGCTTTATTTCATGGCCAAAGATTTTCATCTCCTTTCTCAAGGGAGGGGGTGGGGGTGGGGGTGGGGCTTATAGCCAAGAGGGAAAGCAAGAGTTCTCAAGCAGGCAGGATTGGGAGCTGATTGGCGCCCCCTAGAACGCATTCCTTCTGGCTCTGACCCTCGGCTGTCTTTACCTGAATTGAAGTAGCCACCAGGGCTCCTCACCTCCGTCCTCTGAACCTAACAAGGAGATGATAAACCCTGTTGCTGAGGAAGTCAGTGGTACAGAACATTCCTTCAAGTGAGGTTTCAAAGGAACATGTAGACGTGTCTTTGACCCCTGGGTCAACAGCTGCCTAAAACTGATTTCTGAGACATTTGGAAGCAAAGGCTGCCAAGTGACCAGGACAGGCAGTGGAAAGAAGTTTACTTTTGTCAGGCCTCTGGGGGGCCATGGGAAAGGGCCTGAGTGCGTACTCCAGAGCTTAGCATTTACTTGTCTGTCCCCTTCTCTACCACGAGGTGTTGGGTCCCTCGTGGGGCCCTGACAGAATGGTAGACAGTAGAGCTTGCAGTGGGAAGGGGGCAGATGCCAAGGACTTGGCCACCTCTCCCTTGAGAACATCCTTGGCTCTCTTGGCAGGGGTGAGTCTGGAGCTGGCAAGACGGAGAACACCAAGAAAGTCATTCAGTATCTGGCTCATGTGGCCTCCTCACACAAGAGCAAGAAGGACCAGGTGAGTGCAGGCCTGGCCCTCCACGGAAGCGCCTGACCTTCCTGAGGAAGAGTGCTTAACAGTTTGTGGTTTGGCTTAAAATGAGAGTGTTTTGGGGAGTGAAGCAGAGGCCTGGCCCACTTTGACTGAGAATGCAGCTCGGCTGTCTGGGGAGTGGGTCTGGGGGTAGCCAGCCCGTTTCTCCCTTGACCTTCTAACTTTCTGAGTTGCTATGGAAACTGGAGACCGTCTGAGGTTTGCAGCTAATGCTCTGCAGCCTCCACCTCTGAGGTCGGAAGAGAGATTCCAAAACTTGGCTCTCAAGTTGATGGAGACTCGAAGGATCTCGGGCAGGCCTGCATTTAAATCCCTGCTTCTTTCTCCCTGCTGTTGAAATGCCTCTGGGTGGACAGCCCCCCCCCCCAGTGAAGAGGGAAAGGGCGGCTGGCAAGTCATCTCACTTCCCTTTTTTTCCCCTCTCCCTCTTGATGGATTATGGTCGAACCCAGCAGTGTCCTCGCTAGGTGAGCTGCACGTTTACTGCACGTTCTGCACCAGGAATGCGTGTTCTGCCCATCGTGTGCCCTTGAATTACGTATTTTTTCCTAAGCAGCTTTTCACTCTACACCATTGTCACTCTCTGCGGCTAGACCTGTTCTCGTAGGCTCGGCTCACTGACTGTCTTGGGAGGAGGGGCTGGGTTGTGACACACGGTGACCTGGCGTGCACTCTGAAATGACAGCTGCGGCGGAATGGGTACAGGAGCTCGTCTCAGAAGCTCTGGTCGTGCCCAGAATTCCCACGCCCACGATGGCCATCACATCCCGTGCAGGACCCTGACCGAGGCACAGTGCAGTGGGGACCTGTCCCCCCGGACCCGCACACGCTCAGTGCTCCGGACCAGATGGAGATGGTTGGCCACCTGGCCAGAAATGGTGCTGGGAAGGCCCCGTGCCTGGCTTTCCCAGGGTGGGCAGTGATCAGCCTTCAGCATGCCTGTGTGGTGCGCGCTCTTTCTCTCAAGCACACACTCTTAAACTTCCCTGTGAAATCTAAGTGCCCATGGTGTCTCCCCAAGCTGTCGGGGGGAGCTGTGCCATCTGGGTGGCTTCCCGTTACTGGGACGCCGTGCGCAGCGCGTGGAAGTAAGTAGCGGCGTGTGTCTTTGCATGCAGATGTGGGGCGTGTCCTGCAGAGTGTCTTAATGAGCACAGTCTCCTGGAATCCAACCAAAAGTAACTTGTCATGTGCCAGACTTCTCAAGACATTCTGAATCTTTTTCCACGGGGTGTCAGGAATTATATTTAGAAACAAATCAAGTTCTCTTTTGCTCCCTCTCTCTACCCCCCCCCATTTTCCATCCTTTTTAGGGGATCTATTTTTAAAACAGGGCTGTGAGGTTAGGAGTTCTCTAGCTGTGGTTTTCCATCCCTAAATTTGAAGTAAAATCCATTTCCCAACTATTTATTGAATGCCTAATATGTGCTTGGATCTCTGGAGGGTGACCTTGGTGTCCCTGCTTTGCAGGACGGGAGGCAGGACCACAGTTACAGAGCAGGAGTGGAGACCCACGTGCCTTACTTCTGGGGCTACTCCAGCTGCAGAGGGGAAGGCAGGCCCCTTGCACTCAGACAGGACGGCATGTGGGGGGTGTGACAGGTGAGAGCAAATTTGTCACATCCTCTCTCAGGCCTCTGTGTGTGATGGGCACCCTGTCCCCAATTCCAGGTTCAACTAGAGTGATTGAATAGGCTGCCCCTGGCTTCCCCTGGCTGCCCGGGCCCTCAGTTGTAAAGGCCATTGACCAGTTTGGTTGATTTCCTTGCCTGAAGCCATACAGTGATTTTCCACACACAGCTGCACTCTTGAACTTGGTGTGCACTCTTTCGTTCTGGGCCTGTCTCGGCCTACTCTAGGGGAGAGCTTTCCCGCAGCCACCCAGGTGCTCATCCCAAGACCGCCGGTCGGACACCCCAGACCTCACCTTGTGGGGGCGCCAGGCTTTGGCCTGACTGCAGGTGGGCGAAGCAGAGCTCGGTGAAGGGACTTCCTAGGTGGGCTTCCGTAGTCTGAGCAGTGACCCTTGACAGCTCTTTCTCCCTCTGTCAATGTGCTGATTGGACCCCTGGCAGAACTGCCACCCAGTGAAGCCTTTCAGAAACCACCTGGGTAATTCCAGACTTCATGAGCATATGCGGTCTACTGTACCCTCCCTCGTAATTTCCCAGTGTGCAGATTTCAGTGAACAATAAATAAGAGCTCTTCTGTGCCCACTTAGGCATCGGTCAAGAGAAACCTGTAAGTTAGGCATCACCATCATCGGCCGGGGGCTCGGCTTGGGAATCCAAGGTCATTACTCCTGGGCAGCCTTGTGGTCCCACATTCCGTGGCATAAGCCTGCACCCTCAACAGAGGCCTTAGCTTTGTCTCCAAGCTGGGGCAGGCGGCAGGCCCCGGTGGGGGCCACGCTCCCATCTGTTGTCGGCGGGAACGGGAGTGGCTTGGCCAGCCTGGCAGCCTGGCCTGTGCTTTGAGAGGACGTGTTAGTGGGTGGGGGAGCAGCACTCATCCAAATCCAGCTCCGTGGCTGTCTGGGCCGCCTTCCCCAGCCTGCCAGAGCCCCAGGGGTGGGGGCCCAGTGACCTGTGACCGCTGGCGCCAAGCACTCATTTAGAGTTTGCTCTGTGGGTTTGACCCCTGCCCCTTGACCTGGCTCCACTGACCGTCCTCCACTTAATCTGGACCATCTGAAAACAAGACTCCTCAGCCCTGGGAGGAGGAGGAGGAGGAGGAGCCCTGGCTGAAGATGGCTGTTGAGAAGGAGGGTCTGCCCAGGGCCCCTTTGGGTCTCTGGTGGCCTTGGCCAGACCCCAGGGCATCCTCCGTCTTGTTGGTGGCAGGAATGCCTGGGAAGCTGTAGCTCGCAGCTCTCCTGGGGACCCCTGCCACCACCAGTTCTCTTTTTCATCACAAACAGGCAGCTTTATTCCTGGAAAGTCCTGGCTTGACTCCAGCCTCACTGATAAATATAAAACCCCACCTGGCCCTCGTGTGATGCTCTTTCCCCTAGGGGGTGCCCAGGTATTAAGGTGAATAAGAGCTGTGTTTTCCTCAGCCAGTGTTAGTTGTTACCTGGCCTGCTGGGAGGATGATGGCTACTTCGAAAGGCCCGCTTACCTCCACCTGATGGCGTGGAGCCCCCAGGTGGGGCTGGGGCTTGGCGGGAGACCTGGCAGTGACTGACAGGTGCGAGGTAGAAGACTTGAATTCAGTTACCTGCTTTGCTGGTTGATGTCTGGGTGACCTCTGGCAAATCATTCTCTATCCCTCAACCTCAGTTTTCCCTTCTGTGAGATGGGGCTACTCTCTCTTTCCTACCCCGAGGATCATGAGGCTCCAGGGAGAAGAAGACATAAATAAGAGTGCATTCTGTCACCCACCAGGTGTCGTGATACCTCAAGTAGGGTTTATTGGTGTGATCGATCAACGATTCAGGACCCAAAGAAGGCTTTGTTGATCCCATGCTCAGACACCTGACATGCTGGGAGCAGGTTTGGGGTGGTGGTGGCAGGACAGGGGACCAGCAGGGAAAATGCAGAGTTTATTAGGACACAGATGAGATGAGCTGGTGTCTTTTGTGAATCTGGTTTCCTTTCTCCTTGTCCTATGAAAAGGAAGAAAATTTGTGTGGGCTGTCGGGTAGGGATTAGTGGCAGGGAGGGCAGAGGGAGGCCAGTGTGCCTGGGATGGTGGCAGTCCAAGGGAAGGAATGGTGCCTGTGTTTCTTCTTGGTTCACGTGCTGCTTCCTCACTGTCCTACAGGGTTGATCTGGGCCATTGTGCCAGGTCCCCAGAGCCGGCGGGCCACCCTCTTTCCCTTTCTAGGGCCGCTGGGTGGTCAGTCCAGGGAAGTGAATTCAAATCAGTCAAGGTTTCCAGATACCTGGCGGGAAGGTCGCTCTGGAGTGACCCAGGGACCAGGCCGAGGCTGGTGTGGCCGGAGCCCCTCTGGAAGCCTCCGTCCCTGGCGCGTTGCGTGTGTGGACACAGCCCTGCCGCCCTCCCTGCTGCCTGGCAGAGCAAGAGCAGATCTGCCAGACCGAGCCGCTGCCTAGCCTTCACTGCACTTCTGGGTTCCTTTCCAGGGTGAACTGGAGCGGCAGCTGCTGCAGGCCAACCCCATCCTGGAGGCCTTCGGGAACGCCAAGACCGTCAAGAATGACAACTCCTCGCGATTTGTGAGTGCCAGTATTTTTGGGGAGGATGCTCCCACCCAGAGCCTTGGTGCCTGGCGCCTTCCCACGGGTGCTCATGTCTCAAATGCAGAGAAGTGGCGGACCTGGTGCTTCCTGGGCCTGCTGCGTACATACAGTAGGCTGGGCGGTGCTCCGGTTGTGCATACCTGCATCAGGAGCTTCTCCAGCTCAGGTGGCAAAGCCAGCCAGGCAGTGGGGAGTTCCTGCTGGTCCTCTGATTGTCCTGCTGTAACCATCAGCCAGGGAGGAACACTTCCAGATAGCTGGCTTCCTCTTCTTCTCCTTGGAGGAACTTGGGCCACACTGGAGCTGGTCTGGGCTCCAGCCGTGTGGCCCTTCTGAGTCCTGAGTACCCAGGCGCTCGGGGTGCAGGGCCCTGGCCACCAGGCTGTACCACTGCAGTAGCGCTAGAGGCTGGGGTCTCTGATCTCTTCCTCCGTCTTTCCTTAGGGCAAGTTCATTCGCATCAACTTTGACGTCAATGGCTATATCGTTGGAGCCAACATTGAGACTTGTATCCTTGTGGTTAATTGTAGTAAGTGTTCTGGGTCTGGAGGGGAGGGGCGTGACCTTGATGGAGAAGCGCTGCTTCATGATTCCAGAAGTTTGCCCTTTATGGACCTGTTATGACACCTCATCTGTGGCAGTGGGAAGAGGACCAGGATGAGCTCATTGAGAACTCAGCTCAGAGCTCAGGTTTTCCTTTACGGGCGGACGAAAGTTCAGCTTAGAATGGGATGGAATAATTGAAGAGCATCCAGTGTGGTTCCCAGAGGGGCGGAGCTTGGGTGGCTGCAACTGCATTTCTCTCCAGCGTTAAGCCTGTGCTGGTGGAAGTGTTATGATGTCCGTTCTCTTGTGGATGGGGGGCCCTTTAAGTAGACAGGGCTCCCAAGTGGGAGGGCTGCTGTTTGGACAGGCCACGCCCCTTGAAGAATAGAGCCAAGGTAGTTTTCCTTTGTCTGGTTTTGCCATATTCTGCTGGTGAAGTTCCGCGGCTTTGACGGGGTCGGGGAGAGTTGGGGGCGGCCTTCCCTCCAGCATGCACGGTTCCTTAACGTTCGCAAAGATCTGCTGGAGAAATCTCGTGCCATCCGCCAAGCCAAGGAAGAGCGGACCTTCCACATCTTCTACTACCTGCTGTCTGGGGCTGGAGAGCACCTGAAGAGTGAGTAGTGGGCCGGCAGCCTGACTGGGGGCTGCCGGGTGCGGGGGCTCTCCCCACAACCCAGCCACGTGCTGCAGCTGGGAAGTGAAGTCTTGGCCTTGGGTCGGGGAGGAGGGTCGAGCATCACTTCTGTTCCTGGGCCAGCTGAGGGCACAGCCTCTGTTTCCAATCACTCCAGAGAAAGCCAGGGCAGGTCACCGTGCAGATGTGGCCCGCAGGGGCCTGATGCCCTCGGGCTACTTGCGTGCCCGTCTCACATGCCTGGGAGAGTCCGCGTTCCTGACTCTTCCCCCATTTCTGGGGTATTTCGGGTTCTCGGTCTCCCACACCTTTGAGGTTGTGGTATTGACTGCAGCCTCTGGTTCCAACACCTCCTGACCTTCCTTAAACCTTGCCCTCCACGCCCCACAGCTGATCTCCTGTTGGAGCCGTACAACAAATACCGCTTCCTGTCCAACGGGCATGTCACCATCCCCGGGCAGCAGGACAAGGACATGTTCCAGGAGACCATGGAGGCCATGCGCATCATGGGCATCCCAGACGAGGAGCAGATGGGTACGGGCTGGCCCTCCTGTGGGTGGTGGGGGAGGCGGGAGGTTGGGCGTTGGCCCACAGGGAGTCTGTGGGGGCCCATGAGGAAGGCCTTCTGTGGGTGGGAGGTGGTCCCTCAGAGGTGAGGTTCGTGATTGTTCTCGGCTGTGTCACCTGGGAGGAAAGGGGAGTGGAGGACAGGTTCATGTCTGCCCAGGGTCTGGTCCACCACTTTTGCCCTTGCCATTGGCTGAAAATGGAACATTCCTGCTTGCCCCGGCCAAGTGTGGAAGGGGCTGGGGCTGGGGTCTCCACCCTGGTGAAGCCCAGAGTGAATAGCAGTGGGGAGCATGCCTGTGTCTTCTCGTGTCTCTAGAAGGAGGGCGAGGAGGGCCTTGGGGCTTTATGGTAGGAAGACTGGGGGTTGGGGAGAGTGCACCCCATTCTCTAGAGTTACGGTCGGGGCCACCTTTGCTTCCCTACAGATAGCATGTCAATGGATAGGCATGGTTGTGTTCCAGTAAAACTTTATTTATAAAAGCAAAGCCGTGGGCCTTGGGTTAGAGGCACATCCTCAGCTGGGATTTAGAAGCGTCAGGAGTGTTCATGGAGCTTGTATCTAAGCCTAGGGCTGCCCACGCTGAGGTCGGCCAGAGGCCCTGGAGATGTGCTGTAGGCCACGGCCTGGTGCCCCGGTGTCCCTGCATGGCTTGTCTTGCCTGAGAGCCCCTGGGGGAGTCACGCCCCCTCAGGGGCTTATGCCACCCCCTGCCTGCTTCTGAGCCGCCTTTGATTGCACCTGAAGGCTTGCTGCGGGTCATCTCGGGAGTCCTGCAGCTCGGCAACATCGTCTTCAAGAAGGAGCGCAACACCGACCAGGCGTCCATGCCCGACAACACAGGTACCCCGTGCGCCTGCGCGTGGACGGGCTCAGGAGACAGGGGAGTCTTGGGGAAATTCCGGATGCTCCTCTCTCGCTTTCATTTAATGTGTGTGCAGCTGCCTGTCACTCTGTTTTCTGTAAAACACATGCAAACACGCCCCTGCGCCTGCTCCATGGAGCAGGCATTGGCATGAGTTAGAAAACCCACAGTCCCCTGGACCAGGGTTTCCCTCGTTCATTCTGAGACCAGACCAACTGTCTCAGTAAGTCAGTCATTTCTGCTGGCGCTGGCCTTGCCCGTGAACTTGTTAGGGTCATGGAACCCTGTCATCACTGCATCTCCTTGGCCACTGCAATTCCCTTGGGTCACTGCACGTGATCCCAAGTTAAGTCTTAATGTGCCCTTGTTAGGGACTTTTGAAAAAAATGTGATGCACGGGTGTGTGGATTGTAAAAGATACCCCTGTGGGACTGTCCTGTTCCATCCCCTACATTGGGAGCAGGACAGACTGCCTGCTGTCAGTCCTGCTAGTGGGTAGGACCCCCTTTCACACTCAGGACGTGGCCCGGGGTGTGCAGAGGAACCGGTGCTGGGCCCCTAGCTAGGACATGGGCCTCCCTGCCACTCCTGCGGGCCTGTCTTAGGGGAGAGCCCACTGTCCCATGTCCTGCCGAGGATGGGCCGGTCTGTTGTCCTGGTAACAATCGCTCAGTTACCACAACTTTCCCACCTTGAGCAGAGGAACTGATTCTCTCGGGTTTAATTAAAACCTTTTAATCCTCCCCTCCTTGCTCTTTGAAACATATTAGCTGCTCAAAAAGTGTCCCACCTCTTGGGTATCAACGTGACCGACTTCACCAGAGGAATCCTCACCCCGCGCATCAAGGTGGGACGGGACTACGTCCAGAAGGCGCAGACGAAGGAGCAGGTGAGCCCTCTGGCCGGGTATCGGGCTGCCTCCTCTGGGAGGGCCACCAAGCAGCCAGATTGAGGCCAGCGCTGGGCCTTCGCTGTGTTAGGCACTGTCACATAGGTTCCCTCTTTCAGGCCTCACAGCACCGTGGAGAGCAAGGTGGTGTTACCCCCACAGAGAACACGAGAAGGCTGGCCCCAGGGTCCAGGCCCCCGCCTAGAAAGGGCCGTCCCTGGCTGGGGCCTCTAGGCTGCCTTGTGCCTCCCTCCTTGAGTCAATGTTGAGGCTGGTTGGTTGGCAGAGATGCAGGGGTGTCCTGTTCTGTTATAAAGCAAAGCAAGCGCGTGGCGTGTCTGTAGCAGGACCCATCCTGGTGCCAGGGCAGCGGCCCCCGCCATCCTGAGAGCCCAGGCCAAGCAGCTGTCTCTCCGCCACCTGCTGTCCTGCCGCACGTGGGGAGAGACGGGCAGGACTCTGGGCAGCAC